TCCACTCAATTATTTTTAATTTCTAAAAAGGTCTAGTTCTAGTCCAAAAGAACTAATTAGAGTGGAGATCAGACAATCTTGGAATGTATCAGAAACCAAATTCAATTGCATTTGATTGGAAAAACTCACCGCTCGGTCTGTGTATTCTACGGATCCAATGTACGTATCAGGTCGCAGAAGGATATGCTCAAGCTGAGACTTCTTCTGGTAAATTCTCTCGATGCTCATTCTCCGTTCATTCTCCTTATCAGCGCTAATCACATCCAGTGGATCTTCCATCTTCGACAAGAATCACACTACGTCAATTGATGAACGATTGCGAAATCACCTGAAGATTACCTTTGCAAATGTTCAGAAACAATTGAGAAAACACAAAAAGAAATGAACAATCGCCGGAGAAAAGGAATGAAATTGAAATTCCATTTTAAGTCAAATTCAGTTCAATCCAATAATATTACAGAGTCTGTAAAATGACACATAAAATCGAATCGAACCACTCAAAACCGTCCGCTGAGATCAGCACATCACGAAATGATGCAGAAAACATTGGAACGAATAACAGATAAACTGTGCGCTCCCCTAAAGGCGTAATTACTAAACGTTAAGCTTCAAGCAGTGCTCCTTCGTCAGGTCTAACACTGACCCTTTCCTAATTCTTAACTAAAACTGAGCTTAAGTTCATGTTGACCAAGTGAATTTTGATCGGAGATGTTATCACAACATAAATTTTGAAACACCACCAATCCTTCCCTATGGACAACCTTATCAGCTCAACCTTCACCCTTACAAGACTAATCAAACATTTAGACCAGATAATTTAATTTCTCACTGAACTCGATTCCATATCTTACATTAATTTCTCATTTCATAACCAACACAGTGTCCGCTCATTTTCAAATTTAAATATTACGCGCCGTCACGAGTGAAATGAACTTTATGAGCACCACACTGACCCTATGAACCACACAGCACAGAAGTTAGCTGGAAATAACGTTATTGTTACGGTTACATCTTCAGAAGGACCCTCGGATAAAGGTTCCGAATAAATTTACAATCTCATTTCTAAATCCTTTTATTCAAAACTCAAAAGCGTTTGTTTACACTATTCTACATCTCCGTCATGTTCTTCATTGCATCGTTATTATTATTATCATTATTATTACCGTTTTTTAATGATAGATAATAGGTTACCGGTGGCGTTTGTTGTCTGATGATATTATTGTCGAATTACATGGATTACGTGGATTGGCCAGGCTATCAAGCGTTTGTAACGTTGTTGGCCACAATGCTCGCGTTTCCTCCTTTCGCATTGTTTCAGCCTTGATTGACGCCAGCCCTGACGCTGGCTAGGCGANTAAAGATGATGAATATAATGATAAATGTGTAGGCTTATGCGCATTTTGATAAGTAATTAAGACGAGTTAACTTGAGTTGTTTCGGCAACTCGTCTTAATTACTTATCAAAATGCGCATAAGCCTACACATTTATCATTATATTCATCATCTTTAAAGTTATGCATGTAACGATACTGTCATTTCGTTACAGTATCGTTACATGCATAACATGCAGTACTTGTTGTTTACCCTTTACATAAATCCTACTGTGGCTGTTGCATATGCTATGCTATATCTTGAGACTGATTATCAGCAAAACAGTCTCGGTCAGGTTGAAATAAACACGAAACTACTAACAGAACACAAGGCTGTAACTGTGTTTTGGTGATATATAATGTTCAACTGAGACAGGGTTCCATGTTTTTGCCCTGTCAGTAACCTCAGAAAGTATTTGAAAGAAAAACCCTTTGGCAACCGACGTAACTGTTGATGAGTTGAAAATTTTGCATCCATTATGTGGACGCTTCATGAAAATGGTTAAGTTGTATTACGAAGCTTAAATAATAGAAACAAATATTATGATGAGCAAAAAATTATTAGACGAATCATATAAGCAGTACGCTCAAAGGGAAATACATTATTATCACAAGATATTGATTCATAAAAACGCAAATATCAACACTGAAAGGCGCATTGTTAGAACTTCGATCAATATGGTATCCCTGATAGGCAAATATGTTTACAAAAGAAATATATCAGATTCAAAAAATGAGAGATAATTATCCAAGGAAGGACAGAATTATCAACATGAGTGCATAAAATTTGTTTTGAAATCAGAAAAATAGAAATTGAAATCTTTCTTAGACTCGGAAATTACTGCAGAAAAATAAGAACAGATGAGAATTTGAGCGGATAAAGCAAAAAATTATGTGGAAATTGAAGATGAAACGACAAATCAGAAGACATTCAAACAAACGATAGCGATCGAGAAAACGAGATGAACGGAATATCGGACAAAAAATAATTGAAGACATAAAATTAACCTTTTGTCAAATGATTTCATTCACGAGCAAAAGAATAATTCAAATTCACTAACATTGAAAATATTCAGTAATTGGTCATAGTACAATGATGATCAAAAGCATTGCGATATTATCACAGATAACATGAAGAACAATTTCAAAATACATAATACTATTTTTTAAAACTTTCAAAAATCAGGAGTCATGAACGAGCAATATTATAGCAAACACACTTTAACAATTTAGAGTAGCATATCAGACTGTCAGCCTGATATTTTGAAGACTCATTTAACATATTGAAAACACAATTTGCTTCCAACGAGAAGCGATCAGAAACAAAAATGAAACACTGCCCTGAAGTATCAGGCTTAAATCTCGAACAATAGAATATCTGAATTCACTCAGTAATTAAAAAGACGAACAACTCGAAGTAAGATCGTATCGAGCGTTAACTCTCACGAAAAATGAATCTCTAATAATAAGATAAATTGAAAGCTTGGAAGAACAGTACGAAGCAATACCCTCCGTGAAGTTCCCACTGATATTAAAAGCGCTGAAAAGGTTCATGAATGCATTATGCTGGTGATAAGTCACGTCAAAATGGAACTGGTATTCGTTATCTGACGATGAATAACAATAACACCGTTTCATAATTCAAACACACAGCAAAAACCCAACTTATGTGGGTCGAACTTATTTCAACGGAAATAAATTCTCTGCGTTTATGAGCCATATACTGTAGGATCGGCAACCTGAGCGCTTGCGCTATTGGGTGAGATGCGTACGGTTGGGTCGATCGTATAGGTGGGTGCTTTCTTCATTTGTAATGGCTTTGCCAGGTAAAGCGCTGCTGTCACTACCAAGAAACATCCTGAAATTATGTTGAGGCTAAATGAATTCAAAAAATATCGTTAACGAGAGGATAAATATGTTTTCTCCAAGTATGCAATATGATAAATGGTGTCGGACTGATGAAGGTCAAATAGTGGAATGATTGGGATTCAAACTAAACGACTAGTGGCACGACTGACCAGCAGCAATCGTGTAACCGTTGTTGAACGATGGTAGGAAACAAAAAATCGAGAAGAATATATACAGGAGACCACGTTTGAAACCATCAAAGTTAAGTATTAAACCATAGAAACGACAGCAAACACCGTCAACACTGAAATTTGGATATCAATGACACTGTATTCGCTGCTGTTATTAATATCAGCGATGAAAATGGAATATTAACGGACACCGAAAATGTTCGACTCAACATACGTCTGGTTTCGTTGGTGGAGAGTGTTGTGCATGCGAGAAGTAATTAAGAAAGATGTGAGGAGGATTCTTACTAAAGCCCTAATGTGTCGAGGAAACACTTCAACTGATGACGGAAGTCATAAATTGTATTCAACACTCATTTTCCCTTCTGATTGGATATATTCGTAAGTTTTCGAGGTGGAAGCAGAATGTATAATCTGACTCCAATCCATATTTTAGAAACGTTTAGGTTACGTCTAAGAATTTAGCGAATTGTGGAAGTGACATATGAATGTCCCCTTAACTAAAGTTTTAATGGATAACAGCGATCAGAATAAAGATGAAGTTTGCAAACGAGATCGTCAATTAAAAAATCCAGTACTCACCCACAACA